GATTTCCTCCGCGGATATCTGTAGTTGAAGATATAGCAAATCGACTTCTTGAAGCACGCGACGCGCCACGCGTCGGGACGCGTTGGGCTTATAACTTTGTTAAGCGCCGCCCAGAACTCCAGACACGCTTCCAACGAAAATACGACTATCAGAGAGCTAAGTGCGAAGATCCAGAAGTCATTCGTGGCTGGTTTGAGCTTGTACGAAACACAATAGCGAAGTACGGAATCTACGATGCAGATATCTACAACTTTGACGAGACTGGGTTTATGATGGGCGTTATCTCAACTGCAATGGTTATTACAAGCTCAGAAGGACGTGTAAAAGCAAAAAGAGTACAGCCTGGTAATCGGGAATGGGTTACAGTAATCCAGGGGGTTAATGCCCAAGGCTGGTGTGTTCCACCGTTTGTGATTGTTGCCGCAAAAGATCACCTCGCTTCTTGGTACCAAAACAGTGGATTTCCACCTAACTGGGTGATTGCTATTACTGAAAATGGTTGGACAACAAATGAGAAAGGCATGGATTGGATTCGACATTTTGAGAAGCATACAAAGTCCCAATCTATTGGTGGTTATCGTCTATTAGTCCTCGACGGCCATGAAAGCCACCACTCCGACGAATTTGAGGAATATTGCAAGGAAAACAACATTATCACTCTTTGTATGCCTGCTCATTCTTCTCATATACTCCAGCCACTCGACGTTGGCTGTTTTAGCCCTTTGAAAAGGGCATATGGTCAGCAAATTGAAGATATGATGCGGGCTCCGATCATCCATATTACTAAGGATGATTTCTTTCCTGCCTTCCACGCCGCATTTAATATTGCAATGACAGAAAGCAATATCCGAGGAGGGTTCCGAGGGGCTGGGCTTCTTCCATTTGACCCAGAAAGTGTAATTTCTACACTTGATCTTAAGCTAAAGACGCCAACGCCTCCAAACTCCCCCCCGTATTCCGCTCAGCCTTGGGTTTCCCAGACACCAAATAACCCTACTGAAGCCTTATCACAGACTGCATTTATTAAAGATCGAATTTTACGCCACCAAAGTAGCTCTCCAACCCCTATTTACGAGGCCATTGACCAGTTTACGAAGGGTGCATCAAAAGTAATGCACCAGATAGTACTATTGAAAGCTGAGAACCAGAGACTTCGACAAGCAAATGAAGTACTAAGTAAGCGCCGTAGAGCTAAAAAAACACGCCTACAGCAAGGAGGATCACTTAGTCAACAGGAAGCGCAGGACCTACAGGATGATAGAGACGTTGGTGAGCAGGTAATGCAGGAAATAAAGAGAAGTAGTGGTCGGAAGCCGAGGGAAGAATCACGTGCACGGCGCTGTGGCAACTGCGGAGAGACTGGTCATAATATGCGCACCTGTAATATTATAGAGGAAGTAACTGAGGAAGAAATTTCTGAATAGTGTTTTTTAATTAGAGGCGTTGTGGTAGAGTTCTTACAATTTCAATCGCGAGTGTAGAAAATTTTGGCCGGTTCGCTTGTTTGGCCGGTTCGCTATACATGCACGTTATTCTTTATGGGGGTAAAGATATTTAAATATAATTAAATAATAAAGTCCTTTAATAGTAGTAAAGTACTAAGTTATTTATAATTATTAGGAATATATTTAACTAACTTATATATAAAGAACTATATTAAAAGAAGACTTATATACTAAATAGAATAATATAAATTACTTAAAAAACTTTACTTAACTCGAAGTATCTATTACCTCCTTAAAACTCGTCTAGATAGTTATAAAACTTACTATTATTATATTTACCGTTATTCTAAATATCTTCGCTCTTTAATATCTTTAAAGGTTCTATATTAATTAAGGCTTATTCGAATTAAGTTTATAATAATTAAGCGAGTTCTTATTACGCGGCTAATTAATCTTTATATAAGCTTTTAAACCTAGTCTTTCTAGATATAGAATCCTTAATTAACTCTATATCACTCCTCTTTATACTACTAGCCTATACTAATAAACTCTTTATTTATCTATACTATACTATCCTTAATCGCCTTTATCTTTACTAGATTATCTACTCCTTTAACTAGAAAGTCCCCGAAGTTCTTTATTATATTATTTATATTCGTAGCTCGAAGTAGGGAGGACTATAGTATAATAACTAGTCCTTCTCGGGGTTATATAGGCCGATTAGCTAGTCTACGTAGTAGTATTCTACTACATATATTCAGGGGATTAAAGTAAGGATTCCTACTATATCTCTAGAGGTTTAGGTAACCGAATAATTAAGTAAGAGGTTATACTAGGTAGTTATAAACTATAATTAGTTATAATTATAGTTCTTAAGTAAGAGTAGGAATAGCCTCTTTTACTTTAACTTTACGTTCTATCTTTTTTTACTTTACTTCTTTATACCCTTCTATAAACTTTATAAGCTAATCCTTAGAAGGATTAGTTAATAATACTTTATGTGCCCTAGTAATAATATAATCTACCTAGGTCGCTATATTACTTATATTAATAGCGTAGTAGCTATTCCTATCTTTTAGGATATAATATACTTTTATTAGCCGAGGATAGTGTCACGTGTCGCAAATCACGTGCTAGCACGTGAGGAGTTAGTCCAGACGGGGTTCTGACAGGACAAACACATCATGGCTCTTATAGCAAAAAGGGATCGCTTAGGTTAGTTAAGCGATCCAGGAATTTCTTTGTATACAAGTCACGTGATATATGCAGGTCGACTTCAGGAACACGAAGGTTCTATATAAGACTGGCACGTCTGCCATTAGATAGGAGCTTCGTGCTCAACTTAGTTATCAATCTTATCATATTAGTTTGACATCTTTGATACAAGTAACGAGTTCACTTCCAAGTGAACAACCCGATAGTCTTCTTCTTATCATAGCATACCAACCAGCGAACACCCAGCCAAGTTTAGTTAGCCAGTTTGAGTATTCGTTACACCCTAGTCACATGATCTTCTGTAAGGAAGAAATCCTTGGATCGCCTAGCTACCCTAAGCGATCCCCATTTGCTATAAGAAATCTGAATGTGCCTGTCGAGGGTTGCGCCTCTTATTATGACAAGTATCACGTGAACACGTGATTCGTGACACTAGGTTATAAAACCTACGTTTATATTCTAATTAAAAATAAAGTTATTAGTAAGAATTCACAATCTTATATATACTAAGGAGTTCTTATTAGATATAAAGGCTAGAGAATATAGCGTATTTAGGTTCTATTACTTAGTATATATAGATATATTATATTCTCCTCTAACGTTAGATTTAATAAAGGAGGTTTTATCTCTAGACTAAATAAAAGGGTTCATAATCGAGTTAATATATATTTTAACCCTACCTAAGAGTTAAAAGAGCTAGATAGAGTTTCAAATTTATTAACTAATTCTTATAAGTTATTTTTCTACTTAGTAGATTTAATAAAAAATATAACTTTAAATAAAAAATATTTGTGTCACGGATGCCAACAAAGGATAAAGTGTATACAGCTTTTGAATCAATTGCTAGAACTAAAACCGTAGGTACGAAGAAATCAAACTAAAGAGAGAAGAGAATCTGAAAGGAGCGAAGTTATTTAAGTTGTTCCAATGCCAAGTCTCGTCACGTGCTTGGCCAAGCGAATGAAATCCTGTCAAATGAAATCCAGCTCCGTCACAATTTGAATTTATTAAAAGAGATAACTTATAGGCTTTTGTTTAGCGCGCGGGTTTAATTTTAGCTTAGTACCCCTTCCGGGCCCTTAATAAAGGCCGGTTTAAGGTTCTTTTATTATCTTTTAATAAAACTAGAGTAAGTAGTATAAGGTATCCCTGTTTTATAATAGATTTCGAACGGATTATTACCTTCTTTATATAGGATCTAAATACAAGTCTATTACCTTATATCGAGCTCTTTTCGAGTAGTTAAGCGTACCCGGCCTATTGTAGTTATTATTATATATAAAAACATAAAGGAACGAAGTTTTTATTAGACTTTTAAGTACGTGGGGTAGGGTAGATGACCCCTGTCTCGCTAAGCGAAAAGTGACCGTGAGCACCACGACCTGATTGTACTCCGTTTACGTAGGGTAGGGTAGGTATTTGGTTGTATGGATGTAAAATTGATGCGATTGAAGCGGATTGAATTGTTGTGAGTTTGCGAGCTTGTGAGTTTGTAGATTCTTTGGTGTTTTGGTATAATGGGGGAAGTCATAGGAGGGAAAGTGGAATGCTTTTAAGTGGTATGGTAGGTAGGTGATAGCATATCTTGTGTGGAAGTTCCTTCGTATTAAGTCCTTTAATACAAAAAGATTTTGGGAAGTTGGGGGAAGTAGGATAGTTAGGAAATCTTTCTTTAATAGTAATGGACTAAACCACCCCCTAAAAAGAGAGGTAGTTTAGTTCGTTAGTATTTACTTTTTCTTATAGAAGAATAGCTAAGCTAATTTAGTAAACCGGTAAGTTAGTTATCTACTATAGCTACCGTAGTTAGTTAGTATAATTATAAAGGCTTTTAGTATTAAAATTTAGGTACTAAGTATAGGAAGGAAAAGGGGGAAATAAAGAGAGTTTGGAATCGCTAAAGGATAGTTAGGAGAAGGTTTAGATTAAATTATTAAGTTAATTGTTGCTATGTAAGTATATTTATTTTTGTATATAATGTAGGAGTTGGTTATCAGACGTAATATAGGTTCATTGCATACACAAATGCCTTTTTAAATCAACTACGCTTCGAGATTTCGAGTGAAGTGGAAACTGGAAACCTGATATCTCGACGTAACTAGAAATGTACGTATAAGCCGCGAGAACAAGATAAGAAACTTGCAATTTAAAACTCTCCGGGCGAATTAAGAGGCAGAAGATTATTTTGAGGTGATGTCGTTTGAGTGTCTGGCATTTCAACCCAGATGAAGTTGTAGATGAGTCAGCTGGAATGATCAAGGGAGGCTTCCAACGAAACTGTACCTATGAGATCCTTTCATCTACCAAAACCATTCTTTCCAGCCATGCAGTGCCCACTTGATGATTCCCTCGCTGCCTGCGGGTGAAAAGGTCAAGATCGAAGCCTTGAAGTCGACTTGGACAAACGGCATGGGCAAGATTACGAAACTCATCGGTGGGGGCATTGGCCTGGTCTCTGAAGCAATCTCCAACCACAAGACATCGGGTAGTAGGCAGCAGTCACCTCAGAACTTCAATGCAGAGTGTAGTGAAAGCAACAAGGCAGGGCCTTCTTCTGATATTTCAGCTAATCCACCGGTATATGACGAAGTGACGGAATACCGTTCCCATGCCAAATCGGAAAAGCAAGCGGAACATGACGAGAAGGATATAGAAGAGGACAATTCTTTGTCGGAGGAAGAAGATGAAGAACATTGGGCACTGGACGAGGCAGCGAGACCAAATGAACTACCAAAAGATACAGAACTCAAGGACTCGGATGAGGTCGCAAATCGCTTCATAAGAACGTACCCTTCTATCCATGCCATGCCAGCGGGAACGAACCTCTCATGTCCAGTAATCATACCCCAACGAAGACCTAGGGATAACGCGAGGGGATTCGTCAGAGCGTATGCACCAGTTCTAGAGGACTATGGCATCGACCAAGCATCGTTCCTGGATTTTCTAGAGAGCTTCCAGCTGGCCAGCAAAGCATCCCCGTGGCTTATTGTTGTCACTTTGGTGGCGTTGGGTGCGCAGTTGACACCTAGTCTTATTGCAAAGGGTGCTTCGGTGGCTGTGGGAGTGACTGCTGGGGTTGCTATAGAGGCACAAAGGGCTTCTCGGTATGTTGTCTACCGACTGTCGTTATGTCATCAATAGCTGATATATATAAAGGTCCCACTCGTTTCTCGATCGCATGAAAAAGGAGTACTTCCAACCCCGTGGCCTCTACTGTCTCGTCATAACCTACAAACCGGATTCCTCCACGAGCCACGCTCTACTCGATATCTCCAAGTCACTAGGACCCTCTGGACCAGTATCTGAGATCAATACTGCAATGCGCAAGCTCTGGGTCTCCTCCTCAACCATAAACGGCCATCTTGAAATGCCCGAAGCCGCGCCCCTCATCTTTCCCCATCTTGACGCTCTAGCGAACGGGACGACGAAAGAGGACCTGGAGAAGAGTCACAAGATAACAAGCACCAAGGCCTTTGTGGCGGATTACATGGATAGAAGAGCGCAGGCTCGATACACGGGTCAGAACCCGGGAACAGCGCTCCCAGGCGAGCAACCCAGGTTTGTAAGTCGATACGTGGACCCGAATTCGTCGACTAATACTGGGGGCTTGCTTTCGTTCGCTACTGGCGGGACAGTCAACCCTCGAGATGGGAAGCGTAGGAGACCTATCAGGAACCTTTTGGCGGAGGGAGGGGAATACTTGAAAGGCAGGAAGGGGGAAGGATCAAGGGAGAAGGTGCAAAATGATGGGATTGAAAGTCCGCAGTCGGTAGTCGCTAGGGAGACATTTGGAGGACCTCTTGGAAGGAGAGCGGGGGAGTCGAGGGGGGATAGGAGGGATAAGGTGGGGAGGCAGGGTGTGGTGAAGAGGGTTTTGCAGAAGGTATTTTTCTTTTTTACTTTACTCTCCTTTCTTTTCGGCGTTTGATGTTGAGATGGGCTAATAGAGTGGTTTTGTTTGTAGGATGTTCTTTATTTGATGATTGTGGGGTTCCCTTCTGAGGAGGAGTTGAGAGCTGGGAGGTCGGTTGCTTTGGGAGGTTCTGGTGGTTTTTAGGATGGGTTTCTTTGTTGTGATTCTTGGTGCCAGATGTTTGTCTAGTGTATTTCTTGTGGAGTGGGATTTTTGGGCTTATGTGTGAAGATTGATTTACTTATTTAGTAGGTTCTCAATATTATTTTCTGATGAAAAGGTCCGTAATAATGTCTGAAAAATATGAACATCCAAATAACTGTCTTCGAATAGTGTTACTACAAACCCCTCAAAAAAGATGAATACGTGACCTAGATTCTGCAGCGCTATGAATTCAAACGGCCGCTCATAATATCTCTAAATCTTCTCACTCTGGCAGCCCACCCTTTTCAGGTCTGTAAAGTACGATGAAATATAAAGGAATCACATAATTCCCTGGTACGTACGAGTACGGCATCCAAGATACGGAGGTAAGGGGGGACTGTGACAGTTTTTGATTTAGTGAATAAGGGTTCGCTTAGCGAAGTTGCAGGTGTACCCTTCCGTAGATAGACAAATACCTAAGGAGTGCGAAGAGCGTCTCTCTTCCCTCCTTGCGAACAATCTATTCCTTGATCCCCACCATAACATAGACTTAGAGGGTGGGGGGGTGGCTAGGGGGGACAATGAAATAGGGGTGTGAGAGGCCAGACCTTGAACAGCTCAAAGGTGTGGTTTCGAATATTGAATTAAGAAGTGCGTGAAGACTACATACATGCGAGCTCTTCCTCTATATATAGAGAGAGGAAGAGCTTCCTGAATATTCCAAGAAACTTGCAAGAAACTTGAATGACGAATACATGATGTCAGAAGAACAAAACAAGAATTTGTGGAATGGTGGAAACCTGTTTGGCGGTGGGGTAATGGCCAGTGCTAAGCGGGGACTTTGGTCAGTGCTTAGCGAGGGCATGGCCCGAGCCTCCATCATGGGTTCCAACCCTCACAGGGGTACTAAAAGCGGCGTAAGAGGGTATATCCCTAGACTCGTAGTCTAGAAGGGGTAATAGAATTATACTATATAAAATTATTTAAACTAACCCGAATCTATTATATAGCTCTACCTGTTATAAAGTAATAGGTACTATTTATGTTCAATCGTCAGTCGGTACACGTCACATTAATCAAATGAGGCTTATTGTTAGCTTTCTTTTGTATTGCTGGCTAGCTTCAAGTGCTTATAATTCGCCCACATATAGTGGAAAGCGAAGAATAAGCACCTTCGGCTACGCACCCCTTGCCGGGGCAGGTTTGTCTAACTACATTGCGGGGGCAGGTTTGACTAACTACCTTACGGGAGCAGTAACTAACTAAAAATAAGCATACAGCTTATAAACAAGCATATAGCCTGTAAAAAGAAGAACACAAAGTTTTAAACTAAAGCTAAGCGCCTATAGTATTACCTATATATAGAGAAAGCTCCTTATTCTAGCTAGTATATTAATAGCTAGCTAGCTAATTAGGAGGCTTAATAGTAGAAAGCGAAGTATAAAGTAAAGTAAAAAGAACAAGCGCTAAATACTTAGACTTCTACTATATTATAGACAAATTTAAAGGCTCTATCTAGTGAAATATAAATCATAGAGTAGGACGACTGGATATAACTTGGGCTAGATAGGTAAAGAAGTATAAAAACGTACCTTTTTCAGGGGTATAAACAAACTCAGTCCAAAACCCTCCTAAATCGCTAGGCAAGCCTTCTAGCGAAGGGAATATAGGTGGGACAAAAGAGCTCACACAAGTATAGCTGACGATATGGTGGATATGGTGGATATGGTGGTAGTATTAAAGGCATGTGGCAGTAGTGGGGTGGGATATATATCCCACCATAGCTTACTAAGCCTTCATCCTCATTCACTATAAATCCTGTGATTTATAACTTATAACATAGTCGTTTCCGGCCTAAGTATATAAATAGAATATTATAAAAGGCTATTGTATTAATTCGAAATATAGATATAACAATGAAATAAAGAAATAACTTTAGTAGAGTAAAAGTATAACCTAGTATTAACTTTACAAGTTAGAAAGTACTTGATTGTTATTTACTATTCCTTGGTGTATAAACTTCTAATTTACCCTTTCATTATAAAGGTACTAGGGACCTAGGGTTCTGTAGGGAAATTCAGGTCATGTTCGAAGCAGATTTGGCTTTTGGGAAGAAGGATTTGAAGAGAAAAGTATTGCTTTTACGGTAGGAATACTTGCGTCTGCCTAGATACCCTTAATAGACTCATGCAATGGAGATTCACGGTTTGCCAAAACATGTTGGAAAATATGCAAATGAACTGCATAGGTAACCACGAAATCCCAACGATTACCTATTTCTAACGGAAGGGCATGTGAATTCAGTCAAGACTTCCGCTTCAGTATCGACTCGCCTAGCCTAGGTAGGTGTGTTCGCTCAAGTTAGGCGGCATTCCTCTAGTGTTGGATGTCCTGTGCCATCAAGTCTGCAACCGAGGACAGTGATTTGTTTCTACCGTGAATGCTTGCCATTTTCAGAATTCACTCAATGGTCAAGCCATGACACGAGGGAATAGAGGAGCCACTTGAACCCATTAGGTACCGCTCTACTACGATCGCATCATTCAGGCCGCACTCTCACCGGCATTAATGGTCTCATACTCGCGATGCGATTTCGAACATATGTAACAAAATTTACCAAAGAGTGAAAAGGGAAAAGAAGGGGGATGTGGGGTTTATGGAGTAGACAAGGGTTCAAAAGTCGTGCCTTCCTTCTCTGCTCTCGTTGTCTCGAGGTGGCACGAGCTCAAGGTTAACAAAGATTGGTGTGTGTGACATAAGGCTGAAATACTTCTAAGTGGGAAGGGACGATTGTCTTGTCCTTTAATCCTGTCTCATCCAGGGCCAGGTGGCACAGTGGCCGAGATGAGGGTCGACCCATACCCACGGAGAATATCCTAGATACTTCGTAGCTAGACAAGAAGACACGACTTGACTTGACCGCAACCTCAAACTCAAACTGGACAACGAAACAAATTTGGTAGAACCAAGAGATGCTCAGGTCTACAAATACAGAAAAACCTGGATATAAGGATACTGGATATAAGGATACTAGATATAAGGATACTGGATATGTTTATTTATATTTATTACTATTTAACGTCAGGCGGATTCTAGCTCGCGTGGGCTAGGTCCTAGAAGAGTCCCGAAATAGGGTATATGACGCTAGGGGGGGTGCCCTAGGCTACAGGGGGTGTAAACGAATGAGCTAATTTACAAGAGACAATTTAAAGAGAAGTTCCACTTTCGCAACAGCCCTTATCCTTAATTAGTTTTAGAACCAGGGTAAGACAAGGAGATATATAATTAAACGAGAAGGGAAAGAAAAGGAGGCGTGTCTAACTAGAGACAGATTTTGGTGTAGAATTCGGTCTTAAAGTAGACCAGGCTAAAAAGCTTCTCGCAGTGATGTCCAAAGAGCAGCTGGGGGTTCTTCTTGGCCTTAGCTAAAAGCTTAGGGTCTTTGTTGTTTGCTAGCTTGCAGAAGAGTAGGTGGAACTGGGTCTTAGCCTTCTTACACTTACAATTCCCTGACTTAAGTAGCGAGTCGAAGTGAAAGTAGCGAAGGTGGTAAGCCGTAAAGTCTCCATGTCCGGAACGAGCAGCATTAAGCGAGCGAGGACCTCTCTAGGTAGCTGGAGAGATTTAGGCTTTGAGGACCAGGTGTAGAGCCCTAGGTCCTTATAGAGAGCTGGAAGTGTCGTGCTCCAGAGCTTCTTCGCAAGCGCAATCCCTGTCTACTTTACCTCTCTCTTAAGCGTGGCTGTACAGAGTAAAGGGGAGGGTTCAGGAGAGGGTAACCATGCTGCTCTCCCTGCAGCTTTATCTGCAATCTCATTGCCTAGGATCCCTATGTGGCTAGGGCACCACCTTGTCTGTATTTTCCCAGGGTACAATTGAGCTAATTCGTTGACCTTGTTGAAGGTTTCTTGCGAGGTGCCGCAGGATCGGTAGGTCAGCTATAGGGTAGCTTCGAGGTTGTCGAGGCAAATCCAGCACTTTCTGGCCGACGACCAGAAAGGGGAGTCCAGGGCTTGTTCTAGGCCATGTAGAGCAGCTCTAGCCTCTGCATCATATATCTCTAGCACCTTGCCAAAGGAGAAGATCTTAGTGTTGAGA